ATTTGTTTGGTAAGGTATCTTATCTCATCTTTTCAGGCCACACTGACTAAAGAAAATTGTGACCTTTTTTTGTCTATGTATTGTGCAGCTCAGGATAACTGGGAAGACAACAATAAAAATAGATGGGAAGTTAATTATTCTCAACAATTGGGGATAAAAAGTAGGAATGTTTGCTGTAAAAATGCTAAAATTTGTGGTCCTTAATTCCAATGCAAACTTATCAGTAATATTTGTTGCTCCCTTTTGAAATTTGGAAACTTATTAATATCACAACAATTATGAGGAACTGCAAAACTGACATTGGATGTTTGCATATTTTGGAAGCTGCTGAGCATTTTTTTTTTTTAAAAAAAAAATAATTGTTCCAAAAATCGGCCCGTATTTTTGAACTATATATTATCTTAGCTCGACTTGTTAATTTTCATAAACAAGCAAAGCTCGAGCAAAAGATTGTTTATCGGCTTGATTAGTCGACTAGTCGAACTTGGTTCGATAAATGCTCGAGCCCAAATTAACTTGAATATCAGTTGGCTCGGATGGTTTATATATAGCTCTACGTACTCTGGGTCAATATATATTATAATTAATTAGATACCTTAAATTTACCTATCAAATTTTGCTTGTACCCAATAATTCTCAAAGCTGCACGCATACAATTTCTGAACGTTCTCTGAAAAAAATTGTGGTAATTTTTTTAAATATATAAAAATTAAAATGATTGTACTGTTTCACTTCATAAAATGAAATTTTCCATGTGCGGCTCAAAATATTATTTTAAATGTTGTGTACTTAACCAAATTAAAAAGTAAGCTACCTGACTTTATAGTTTATATCACGACAAACAACTACGGGCTATTTTATATATTTCCTATATGATTTAATTATTTCTTTTTAAATATACGGCATTCAAAATAAAAAACTATATATAAATCATTTATAAACGAGTCACAAATCAAATAACACTGAAATTAATAAATCAATGACAAAAGTAACTACAAATCAACCATTTATAAATGGTGAAAGTTAGTATATTTGTAATTATAAATAAATTTTTATAATTATATAAATAAATAGGAATTTGTAGCTCAATGTGTAATTATTTTTTGTTCGTTGAGGACAAAAAGGGCTGAATATTGGGTACATTTGTTAGGCCTATAACTCGTTAAACAAAGCCCAAAACTTTAAGCATTAGAAAAAGGCCCAAAAGTATGAAGTGTCAAGCAAAAGTGTTGGATATAAACAACAAATGTAAAATTTAATTAATTAAGCCATAAATCATATTACTATAAGATAAACAAGTCCTTCAAAAAAAATTTCCACATTTATATTCTACCATATTAGGAAAATTGTATATTAGAAATTTTTAGAGTGAGATAGATGAGTAAGGTTAGGGTGAGCATAACCGAAGTGAATCGTGCAATTGGTACGGTGCGGATCAGTTTTTCAAAAGTATTAGAAAAAAAAAAAAAACTAACATTCCATTTTTTTTCTGCACTGTGATGTGATTTGTTTTTAGTTTTCAGAAGTTCCATTTTCGGTTTTGTTCGATTCAATGCGGTTGCACCAATTAAATATAAATGTACAAAAGAATTGAGGCAAAACGGAATAATAGAGCCCAATTATGCATTTTAGTACGGTTCGGTTCAATTATTTTAATATAAAAAAATCAGTACATGTTCATATTGATTTTTTAACTATAT